GGTACAGTGCATCTCTGGGATGCTGGAGGCCTAAGTACAACCTCCAGTACAGGCAGAAATAATATAAAGTAAAAGGTAGACCCCTTAGACAGTAGCCATAGCCCTCCCACACTCGCATACGACCTGGTATTCTGCTGTCTCCTTGTCTGCCTGATGAGAGCACTGGCTTGTTGGGAGCACGGAGGCTCTCACACTCACAGATAAGCACTGGGGACGCCAGAAATGTTAAACACTTTCCCTGGATGCTGGGCTTTTAATTCCTGAACTGCATCTCAGGCCTACTTAGTGAAGAGGAGTTCAAAAGCACAGCATGGCTGATCCTCACTGTCATGCGAGAATAGTCATTGTTGACTGGGGAGTGTTTTACTCCGGCCCAGGAGCTGTTAGATCTTAACAGAAGCATCCTACAGCAACTTGGGAGACATCTAGATCTTTTTCTCTTTGAGAAGAAGGAGACCAAGGCTCAGTGACAGGAAGTAGTGGCACACCATGTTTGCCTAGCCCCCTGCTTCCTCCTTTCATCCTGCTACTGCTCTCACATCTCTGAATTTCTTCTCTTTGTCTCCCAGTCTCAGAATTCATTGGGAGGGGCTGCACTGACTTGGTTAGGAACTGTCTAATATGCATAAATAGGCATCTCTGTCATGGGGCCTCCACAGAAGCCACTAGTCTTCCTCCTATCCAGCCTGCTGATGGTGACTTTTATAAAAATCTCATACTTCTTACAAGACAAAAATGGTGAGGGTAACAGGGTCATCTGACCAAAGTCAGACATCTTGTACATAACTTCTGTGACCTCTTTTCTCAGGAGTTACAGTGGTAGCCAATTGAGTTTTCCTGGGTCTGACTCAACCAACCACCCAGGGCTGAAGGGACAAAGCCGGAGAGAGAACACAGAAGGACTGACTCAGAGTCTTGAGAGCAAAATTTAGCCAATAAACGCAAAACACCAGTTAAATGTCATTCCAGACATAGCTGAGACACACTTATGTCTTACACAATACTGAGACATATTTACACTAAAAATGCATTGCTTATAATAAATTCACATCTAACTGGCATCCTGTGTAATACAACAGAGAACAGTTCTGTTGTGCTGTTGGAGCCGCAGCACCTGAATCCAATATGTTCTTGTTGAAATACTTATTTGCCGAAGGTCTCTCAGAGGCCCTGAATCAAGCATCCCCACACACTAAGGAGATTCTTCCTTGAATAAATATTTCCCAAAGGATGCCTTTGAATAAGCAAACTGACTCATTCAACAAATGTAAACTGGAACATTCAACAAGTATTAATATCTGTGCTAAATACATTGAAATACAGAGATAAACTAATACTTGTTCCTGTCCTGAAAACAGAAATTGACCATCAAGACCAATAGGTTTCAAATCATATAATCACAATAAAATTGGATAAGTGCCAAACAACAAAGGCTATAGTGCTAAGGTCTGAGTGATTATATTCACAGTTCTATCCCCAAAGCTTGCAGATGGCTAGTACTCAATAAATAGTAGTGGGCCATGATAGTGAACATGGGAGACATGATAACACCAAGGCACTGTGGGGTCACAGAGGCAGATGACTCAGCAAAGGAGACAATAAAGTGAGGTTGGCTCATTCTAGCAGAAAAGTCTAGTCGAGGGCATGATGTAGAAATACCCCAGGCAGATGGACGGGAGAGCCTTCTTGACAGAAAAATCGCATGAACCCAGGCAGATGGATGGGAGAGCCTTCTTGACAGAAAAATCGCATGAACCCAGCACTTCGGTGAAGAGGGAACACACTGCAGAAGACAGAGATAAAGTAGAAAAGGTAGAGAGTCAAGAAGTCTGAACCTTATCTCATGGGTCACTGTCACTAGACACTTTCATACAGAGAAGTGACGTGACCTCCAGGAGATCTCTCTGGCATTGGCATGGAAGGTAGATTATGATGCAGGACAGAAGAGAAAAAACTAACAATATAGCCTAGCCTGGATATAATGGATCTTTAGATGTATTAGGGGAGATGTCTGCAGAGTTGATCCTTCCTGGACTCCCTGTGTTTGCCTTCATCTGTCCCCTCCTGCTCCTAACTGTCATGGTCCATGGAAGGGTCAATGCTGGTGAGAAGAGGAAATCAGACAGGAAAGGGAGGTGGGAGCCAGCCCAAAATAAACTTCCTTCACTTCCTCATTGCCTAAGGAGATCCCAGATGTAGCAAGTGGAGGACAACATCCATGCCGTAGGGCTCCTCTCCAAAGGGGATGGACTCACACTGGTTGGCACAGCCCAGGTTCTCCTTGCTCTTTCTGCAGGGCTCATCCTGTGCCCAGCAAGCACATACCTGGAAGACGTCTTTGATACAGCAACCCTCTCTTGTCTGGAGCCAATCCAGAAGCACTTTTCACAGACATCATCAAAATGAAGAAAGGAATTAGTTCGATAAATTTATTTATTTGTTTGTTTGTTTGTTTGTTTGTTTTACATCCTGGCCACAGTTTCCCCTCCCTCCTCTCCTCCCAGCTCCCCACACACACCCTTTCTGTTCCCAGCCCTCCAATCTACTCTTCCATTTCTTCTTAGGAAATGAGTATCAACAAAGCACGGTATATCAAGTTGCAGTAAGATTAAACATCTCCCCCATGTATTAAGGCTAGGTAAGGGGACCCAGTATGAGGAATAGGGTCCCAAAATCCATCAAAAGAGTCAGACACAGCCCCTGTTCCCACTGTTAGCTGTCCTCTAAGAGGACCAAGCTACACAACTGGAACATATATACAGAGTGCCTACGTCAGTACCACGCAGGCTTCCTGGTTGTTGGCTCAGTCTCTGCGAGCCCCTGTGAGCCCAGGCCAGTTGAGTTTTCTTGTGGTGTCTTTGTTCCCTCTGTCTCCCACAATCTTTTCTCCACCTCTTCTGCAGGATTCCCCAAACTCTGTCTAATGTTTGCCCGTGGGTCTGCATCTGTTTCCATCAATTGATGGATGAAGCCTCTCTGATGACAACTGGGCACCAATCTGGTCATAGGAGATGGCCTGTTCAGGCTCTGTATCCACTATTGCCAAGAGTCTTATCTGGGATCATCCTTGTAGATTCCTGGGAGATTTTTTTGTGCCAGGTTTTTACCTGACCCCAAAATCCTCCCCCCTTTCCAGTGGTCTCTTTCAGTACTCTCACCCCCAACCTGATCTCTCATGTTGCCATCCCTACCCACCCTCGGTGCAATCACAAAATCTCTTCTATTTTCCCTTCCCAGGGAGATCCAGTCGCCACTCCCACCCCATGAATCCACCTTGTTCCAACAGAGAGCTGATTTCCAAAATATAATAAAGAGCTCAAGAAACTAGATATCAACAAACCAAATAATTCAATTTAAAAATTGGGTACAGATCTAAACAGATAATTCTCAACAGAAGAATTTCAAATGGTCGAGAAACACTTAAGGAGATGTTCGACATCCTTAGCCATCAAGGAAATGCAAATCAAAATGACCGTGAGATTTCATCTTACTCCTGTCATAATAGCTAAGATCAAAAACACAAATGACAGCTTATTCTGGAGAGGACACAGAGCAAACAGAACCCTCCTCCATTGCTGATAGAAGTGCAAACTCGTACAGCCACTTTGGAAGTCAGTGTGGTAGTTTCTCAGAAAACTAGGCATCAATCTACCACAAGACCCAGCTATACCACTCTTGTGCATATACCCAAAGGATACTTAATCATACCACAAGGACACATGCTCAACTATGTTCATAGAAGCTTTATTCATAATACTCAGAACCTTAAAATAGCCTAGATGTCCCTCAACAGAGGAATGGATAAAGAAAATGTGATACATTTATGCAATGGAGTATTACTCAGTTGTTAAAAACAAGGACACCAGGAAATTTGAAGGCAAATAGATGGAACTAGAAAAAATCATCCTGAGTCAGATAACCCAGACCAAGAAAGCCAAAGATGATATGTACTCACTCATAAGTAAAATAAAGGATAACTATGCTGCAACCCACAGTCTCAGAGAGACTAGGTGGTGAATAACTTTAATCCCTGCACTTAGGAAGCAGGCAGATTTCTGAGTCAGAAGCCAACCTGATCTACATAGTGAGTTTCAGGACAGTCAAGGCTATGTAGATTATCCTATCTCAAAAATAGAGAAATACAGACAGATGATAGCTAGACAGACAGACAGACAGACAGACCAATGGATAGTAGTGGATAGTAGAAGGGGAACTATTTGGAAAGAGAAAGGGAACCTTCAGGAAGGAAAAGGACCAAAAAGGATAGTACTAAGTGTCATAATGAAACCCTTTATTTTGCACAGTGACTATACACTAATGAAGGAAAACATGCATCCAGAAATGTGCTTGGTAGAAGCCACCTCACTGCTGGAATATGAGTTCCTTGATTTATAAATAACCTCCCAATTTCTATTAATCAAATGAGACGTCCTATGTGAGCAAAGCCCGAATACAATGTAGCAGGAGGAATCCCCGTACCTGCCTCGCTCCTCTATTCCTGAACTGATGGGGAGATTTGTCTGAAGCCTGGAGGACCATCTTGTTTTTTCTGGATTCAGTCACATAAGCATTATTTTCTGGACCCAAACTGTGAGCCATCTGCTACAGAGTTGCTGCAGAAAGCATGACAAGAAAAGCAAGTATAATCCCTGCATCATGGAAGTGCCACTCTTCTGAAGGAGACAGGCAGCAGTTAAATAATCAGATGGGGAAACGTAAAACAGTACCAGTAATGAGTAACATTAAGAAAGGGAGCCCACTCGGTAAGTCCCCCCAAAGGTACAGAGGGATGGCGCCTGGGCCTGGCACACCTTGGTAGTGGCTAGGCCAAAGGGAAGGCTGGGGGCCTTACTTTCCTGCTAACACATTTCCCAGAAATACCAATTCCCAAAACCCAATATAATCAGAATGGGAAACCTGACCTGCTTCCTGGTCCAATCCCTGACCTGTTGTCCCACAGCTCTTCCTTACCCCCAAAATAAATAAAGCCCCAGCCAGGCTGCTACTCCAGCACTCTACACAGCTTCCTAGAGAAAGCTGACCTTACTCCTGTGCCACCATGAAATTCTTCACTGTCCTGCTGTTGGCCAGCCTTGCCACAACCTCTCTTGCTGTCCTGCCTGGTGAGTATATCTTCCTTCCCGCTACCCTTGGTCCCATAGGGGCCACTGGGCTGTCAGATGAGCAACATTGCCACCTTTATGGAGAGATGATAAGATGTAGAATGAAAAATCCACTGCTGGAAGCTAGTGTGAAGACACATACCCCCTGCATCCAGCAACCCAGAAAGCCAGGACTGAGTTCAGAGGTCATACTGGACCCAAAACAGGGCAGACTATGGGTCAACAGAAATTGTGTTTGATCCTAACACCAGAGGTTGGATCAGCACAACCCAAGAAAAATCACTGCTTTAAACCTCCTCATCTCCCTGGTACAATGAAAGCAAGCTGAACACACTATATCCAGTGCTACCCATAGCACTCACGCTCAATGATATATATTTCCAGGGACTTAGGGTACACTAACAACTTACATAAAGACCTCTGCCATCATTGGAATTTCATTCAAAGATGAAGAAAAAATAAACATACTGGATAGATTGCATAGTATTTTAGAAATGCTAAGGAGAGTTGAGTAAGGGTGTGATAGTGCACACCTGCATTTCCAACACTGAGGAAGCAAAAGCAGGGAAGTCAGGCAAGCTCCAGGTCAACCGGAGCTATCAAGAAAACCCCATCTAAAGCAAACAAACTAAAAAGAGTAAGGGAGGTTGGGGAAGCTGCAATGGGGTAACTACCAGTTCACATGTCTTGAGCTATCCGGAGACTTTAACCTCTTCTATCTTCAGGGTCTGAAGATGAACTCCCCATGAAGACTCAGAACACAGCTGCCAGTAAGTTTCATGAGAACATCCCTTGGTTTTTAGTGATAAAAGACTAAAAAGTAAATGATGCTAGGAAGAAGTGAGCACACAGTCCCTCCTGCTTTTAGCTTTAACCCTTCCTGCTGCACTAATTGGCCATAGATCTGGGGGCCAGGAACCTTTTGAACAGCACTCATGCTATGTAATCATTGCAAATTGGAATGGGAGCAGCACTTCACACCCAAATGTTGGCAGGTAAAATGATGGGGAATGTCCTTCTGTATATATGTTTCTCTTATTAGTTGATGAATAAAATACTGTTGGCCAATAATTTAGGAAGATAGGTGGGACTAGGAGACAAGGAGAATTCTGGGAAAGGTAAGCAGAGAGTCACCATGTAAGCTGCCAAAGGAGTAACAGGTCTGGACCCTTCTCCAGTAAGATAGGACCATGTGGAAATACCTAGATTAATAGAAATGGGTTAATAATTAAGACAGAGCTAGCCAATAAGAAGCCCAAGTCATCAATCAACAGTTTAATAATTCATATAAGTCTTTGTGTGCTTATTTGGGTTAAGAAGGGTGGCGGGACCTGACAGGACAAGAAAAACTTCAGCAACAAAATAATGTTTCCTCACCCTGAGACAAGGGGCCACATCAGTTATAGGCACTGCACCACACAGCTCAAAAAAACTTAAAAATTCCAGGATTCGGTTTTGTAGATTAACCATAAGCATGGCTTAATCTTGAGCTAGCTTCCCAGATTAACCTGGGAGAAGTCTGAGAAGCCAAGGAGAAAAATACTTGGAGTTCAGAGGGAAGAACAAAGGCTAATAAACTCCTCCTAAAAGCCAAGCAAAGAGACGGGTGTTTGGAAATGGCTCTTAACTGAGAAGGTAGATTTGCTGGTGGGTGGGATGGCAGGAATAGGATTCCTAAACATGACACTAGAAATCCAATCCATGCCTTTGAGGAGCTCAGGGATACGGATACTAGCATCAGACCTCAATACTTCCATAGGTCACCTAGGTGATGACTCAACACTAATGCCCTGCTCATGTGAAGGGACACTGTTTCTCCCAGAAGCTTTCTCTGCCCCTAACTCCCTACATGTCCTTAGTTTCAGATTCCCAGTCCACTCTCACCAGCCACACCAGCAAGGAGAGCACTTCCAGTAAGGACTCTTCCAAGGAGTCTTCCATCTTCGGAGAAGAGCTGGTTTCTGAAGATGATGTGGTGATAGAATGTGCCAAGTCAAAGAGTCAAAAGGCTCAGGCCGGGATCAGGAGTGGGACGTCTCAGCTGGAAGAGTCCACGGGATCCACCACATCAGCTGGTAAGAGCTAGAGAAGAAGGGAAACATCTGGGGAGGTGGTGAGCAGAGAAGAGCAGGTCAGGCAGTGACTTGTGTGGAAATAAGGAGTCTCTAGAGAGGAAGGGAAAGTCCTAGAAGCGCAAATTTTAAGTATAAGATCAAATGATCCACTATCTGCCAGCACCTCAGGAAGCTTTTCCTGGTGGGTCGTGAGTGTGTGAACAGGAAACCTGCCCTAACTGAACATGTCTATCTTCAAATTACAGAAACCATCGCAGAGGGAGAACTGACTAAGTTAAGCCAGGCAATGGGGGAAAAGCTGGGTAAAACAACTGGAGACTCCATGAATGGTGTGGAAGACATAATCCCTGCTGCCAATGGTATCGAGAAGCCATGAAGACAAGAATGCCTAACCATGTCCCATGCTAGGTCACAGGAGGGGCCTTCATCATCCACACTCTGTTCAAGCCAGCCATCACCTCTCAGTGTGCCCGTCAACGTCTTACATTAAAGTATCTCAAACGGAACCCAGCTCTCTGGTTACTTTATCAGGCCCAGGAAGGGAGGTGGGACACCTTCACTCTACCAGGATTCCTTTTTTAGCTATTCTATGCCTTTAGGTTCAAACTTCCCATCCTCCTCGGCTTACAGACCTGGTCCAGTCTTCCATCCAAAACAAGCCCCATAAACACTTGATCCTTGTCATCTTTCTGCACCTCCAACATGGACCACCTCCATGCCTACTCACCCACTGTAGTCTGCCTGCTCCCACCCACCAGTCCCAATAGCCCCGTGGCTGTTTCTCAGTTCTGACTTTTCTACTCTGTCCCTGCATGACTGGACACAATTATCTTCTCTAGAATCTTCTCCTCCCTAATTTTCTTGGACACTGCCACCCTTGGATATCTCCCTGTTCCTTTTATGAACTGTTTGGTATCTGACCCGAGGTCCCATCCTGGACTCTCTTGCCTTCACCTCTTCAGAAGTCCCATAGCCTCATCTGCCAGGACTTCTCAGGATGGATCCCTCTCATTAGCTCACTTAGCTAACATCTACCAAGTGCCTGCCAGGCCTTCCCTGCAACCCTAAGCAGTTTTCAATGTGAAAGCATATGAAACCTGGGGAAATGAAGTCTCTTTCTGTCTTAAAAACACAGAAAGAGAACATTGCCTATTCAAGAGTAGATAGGATGGCAGGAAGGTGAAGCATCTCTGCTCTCCAGCATCCTATCCCCTGGACACATGAAAGAAAGTCCAGAAAGCCAACGAAGCAACTAATATGCTACAATGCAGGGCTAGCACTCTTCTGGCTGAGAAAAATCTGAAAGAAGAGTGCTCAAAGCTGAAACCCCAGAAAATCACTTCCTTGCCTTCTTCCTTTCCTCCTGGATAGAAAGTCCTTTCTTCTAGGGCTTTCTGGATGCTCTCCAGTATTGCTCAACTGTAACTATCTTCCAAACAAGACAGAAAGATCAACACAGAGTCTTCCTGATGCCAATGTTTAGGATATGGCAACAATTCTCACCAAAATAACAGGAAAAGTAATGTAGGAAGAATTTTTTCGGAAAGAAATTGGAGGAGATATTTCCTAAGAAGTTAGATTAGAAAAATGGAAGTATTGGGAGATTAAGGCATCACTAACTCATCCTCTGATCCTTCAGTTCAGACCACGGTAGAGGTTCATTCCCAGTGAGAACCAAAGTAGGTGCCTGGGCAGCTGTGCCAATAAACCCAAAATGTGGGGCTTCCTGGATCAGAGACCTCAGGATAAGAGGCTTTCCAGTCTCTGCAGTACCCTCACTGCACCCCTGCTGACTCTCTGAGTCACAGAGACAGAGCTGTCAAAGCTACTAGCAGGCAGGTACCTAACAATCCATCTGGAAAGATGCCCTGGACCACCTCCCTCCTCTCTGCTAGTCCTGTAGGGAAAGGATGCATAGGGGGGAAAGGCCCCAATATCGAGTAGCCTCCTCTTTTCCCATACACAGTTAGCCTGCAGGTGGAGGGAAAGACCAGCATCAGAGCAATCTCATACTTTTAAATATTTGGCCATTTGTGACCAAATATATAACCAAATGATCTATTGGTCTATATAGCTGCCACTGTGTGGCAGGCCCTATTTCCAAAGGAGTTTCATGATTTGCTCATATAATCCTGCTTTAAAAAAATTTTTTGAATGCTATTATCCCCATTCACTTGAAGAAAGTGAATACACATTCTCACCCCATGTTTTGCACACTCCTGGAACCAGTCAGGGAGGCAGGTGACTGTTGGCCCCCAAGGCCTCTGAGGTAGATCCAAATAGGACAGGAATTAACTCCAGAAATGCCTTAGACTCTACTCCCTCTGCCTCATCAACTCAGTTGCTCTGCTCAACACAGCTCACTTAAGGGTTACAAAATACATAGCATCAATACAAGAAACAACTCAACACTGATAACCCAAAAATAACTGAATTTAGCATAAGCCCACTCCTAATTTTAAAAGACAACATTGAAACATACCCTCTATTAAATTAAATACAGCTGCTCAACCAGAGGCCACATCAGCCACCAGAAGTCCAGACCCCAACTCTGGATTAGATGCCCTGCTCAACCAAAGAGGAAACAGAAACTAAGGAACAAAGCACCCATTCAACAAAGACAAACTCAGAAATCACACCTAGACCTATAATCACCCCAAAGTGAGATACATGGTCACCAACATAGCAGCACAATCAGCAAAAGTCAAGGCAGTACGACATCACCAAAGCCTAGCTATCCTGAATATTCCAATACAGAAGAACCACAAGAAAAAGACCTTAAAACTAACTATATGAAGATTATTGAGGCCTTAAGCAGGAAATTAATAATATATATATATAACCTTAAAAGAAATCAAGGAAAATACACACAAAAATTGGAGGAAATGAATAAATCCTATAAAGAAAGCCACATGGTGGTGGCACTCACCTTTAATCCTTGCATTTGGGAGGCAGAGTCAGGTGGTGACTGTGTGTTCAAGGCCAGCCTGGCCTACAGAGTGAGTGCCAGGACAGGCTCCAGAGCTACACAGAGAAACCCTGTCTCAAGAAAAAAAATAATAATCCAAGAAAAAAAAGCAAATGGTAGAAGGAAACAAACAAAACTGTTCAAGACATGAAAATGGAAAAAAATAAAGAAAATGCAAACTGATGGAATTCTGGAAATGAAATAGCTAGTAAGTGAACAGAAACTACAGAGGCAAACTTCACCAACAGAATGCAAGAAGTAGAATAAAGAATCTCAGGCATTGAAGATATCATAGAAGAAATACAAATATTTATCAAAGAAAACGATAAATATAAAAATTCCTAACACAAAACATCCAGGAAATCTGGGACACTATGAAAAGACCAAATCTTGGAATAAAGGAGAGAGAAAATACAAAATCAAAGGCCAAGAAAATATTTTCAACAATATCATAGAAGAAAATTTCCCTAACCTAAAAAGGGACATGCTTTCAGGTACAGGAAGCATACAGAACACCAATAGATTGGACCAGAAAAGAAACTCCCTTCACCACATAATAATCAAAACAGTAAACATACAGAACAAAGAAATAATATTGAAAGCTACAAGAGAAAAAGAGCAAGTAACATACAAAGGCAGACCTACTAAAATTACACCTGACTTCTCAATGGAGACTAAAAGTCAGAAGGGCCTGGACAAATGTGCTGTAGACTCTAAGACGCCATAGACGCCATCTCAGACTACTACACCCAATAAAACTGTCAATCACCACAGATGGAGAAAACAAGATATTCTATGACAAAGTCAAAGTTAAACAATATCTATCCACAAATCTGGCCTTACAGACAGTACTAGAAGGAAAACTCCAACTCAAGGAGGTTAACTACACCCATGAAAACACAGGAAATAAATAATCTCAAAGCAATAAATCCAAATGAGAGAAAGCAAACAGAGACATAACACCAACAAAATAACAGGAACTAACAATCATTGGTCATTGATATATCTCAGAATCAATGGACTCGATTCCCCCAATAAAAAAACAAAAACTAACAGAATGGATACAAAAACATGATCCATCCTTCAACTGTGTACAAGAAACACACCTCAACATCAATGATAGATATTACCACAGAGTTAGGAGCTAGATTTGGACCTAAGAAGCAAGCTAGTGCAGCCATTCTAGTATCTAACAAAATAGACATTAAAACAAAACCAATCAAAAAAGATGGGGAAGGACATTTCAGACTCATCAATGGAAAAAGCCATCAATGTGCTGTTTCAATTCTTGGCATCTATGCCCCAAACACAAGGGCACCCACATTTGTAAAAGAAACATTACTAAAGTTTGAAGTGAACAATCACACACTGACCCTCACATATTGTTATTGGGAGACTTCAATACCCCACTCAACAACAGACAAAAAATAAACCAAGAAATATTGGGTCTAACAGACCTAGTAAACTAAATGGATCTAACATATTTTCAGAACATTTCACCCAAACACAAAATAATATACATTCTTCTCAGCACTTCATGGAACTTTCTCCAAAACTGATCACATATTCCAATACAAAGTAAGTCTCAACAGATACAAGAAAATTGAAACAACCCCTTGAATCCTATCAGACCACCATAATTAAAGCCGGATTTCAACACCAAGGGAAACTACAAAAAGTTTACAAACTCGTGGATACTGACCAACTCTCTACTGAATAAAGAATGGGTCAAGACAGAAATAAAGAAAGGAATTAAAGAGTTCCTAGGATCCAGTGAAAACGAATGCATAACACACCTAAACTTGCGGGACACTATGAAAATGGTGCTAAAAGGAAAGTTCACAGCACCAAGTGCCTTTAAGAAGAAACTAAAGACATGCCACACTAGTGACCTAACAGCACACCTGAAAGCTCTAGAACAAAAAGAAAGAAACAAACTCAAGAGGAGTAAGAGGCAGAAAATAATCAAAATGAGGGCTGAAATCAATAAAATAGAAACAAAGAGAGCAATACAAAGAATCAATGAAACAAAGAGTTGATTCTTTCAGAAAATCAACAAGATAGACAAACATTTATGCAAACTAACTAAAAGCAAGAGACAGAATATTCTAATTAACAAAATCAGAAATGAAAAGGGGGACATAACAGACACCAAGGAAATCCTAAGAATCGTTACATCATGTTTCAAAAATCTGTACTCCACAAAATTGGAAAATCTAAAAGAATATGAAAGACCTTTGTCTTAGTTAAAGTTTTTACTGCTATGAAAAGACACCATGACATGGCAACTCTTAAAAGAAAAACATTTAACAGTTTAGAGGTTCAGTCCATTATTGTCATGGTGGGAAGCATGGTGGCATGCAAGCAGATATCGTGCTTGCCACATCTTGGCTGGAAGGCAACAGGAAGTTGACTGCAACACTGGGCAGCATCCTGAACATAGGAATCCTCAAAGCCCACCCCCATAGTGGCACACTTCCTCCAAAAAGACCTACCCACTCCAGCAAAGCCACACATCCTAATAATGCCACT